TGTCTTTTGTCAACGTGACACTTTTTTTGCTGATTGGCCGTGTCGGGTGGTGGAGGGTTACGACACATTTATAAATAACGCGATCTAACCCAAAAACCTTTATTATGAATAATATTGGTCGCGAAAGCCTACGTGTTAAACCCACGACCTCCTGTACACCAGACGAGGTGGTTAACATCTCCTAGCCATCGTGATGATGATGAGAGAGAGAGAGAGACACGCAAACTCCAAATACACAGCAGCAGGCGTGAGGGTCGGGATCGAACCCACGACCTCCTGTATACCAGGCGAGGTGGTTAACATCTCCTAGCCACCGTGGCTCCATGAATATAGATGCGCATGTGACCTTTGCAGTTTTCGTACTTAATAACGCCAGATAAGCTATTGCGGAGACAGGAATGAGAATAAACTATAAAGGGGCTGCATTCGTCGTGCGCGTAAATGCCACGGCATCTCAAAGCGCCGTATATATTTTTTTCAAAATCCGTACGCAACTCACGGGGATTGCTTTTTTTTTCGTTAAACGGGACGAGTACTTTTGCCAATAACCTCTGGGAACACGGCAGCATTTGTTTAGCTCCTTTCCCGACGAGACCCAGGAAGTGTAAACCAGTCCACGATGACATTGTATTACCTTGGAATGGCAGCAGGCTCGTTGCATATATATTTAGTTTTTTTTTATTTACGCGGCGACGTTGAATGGAATTGTGCTCATTCGTGGTGTTTAAATCACCAAACCCACAATCTTCTCTGCCTGGGGAGGGGGGCACAGGAGACAGAGTTGTGGCAGGCCCCGACCCTCCCCCGCCCCTCACCGTGCTGTCACCGTGGGGGTGTCGCCACCTCCGGGAAAGTTCTCCGTGGCATCGCGATGGAGTTGGTTACAGGACCCCGGGGACATCATCCCAGCGTCATCGATGGAGCATCGACCTGCCTGGGGGATGCCCCCTCCCCCCCGATATGTGGGCACGAGGTACGCTCATGCGTACCTGGACTCGAGACATACTTTAGATTTTTATATATATGATAACAATAACACCAAACCGGGCACATTTTCTGTTTGTTTCACAAATGAGTTAATGTGTGTATGTATGTTGAACTTCTTTTGCACCGTACGTAGCCAACCGCGCTAATCAGAGGTGCGGGAGGACAACAAACTAAACACAAACATCTTCTTGGTTCTTTCGGTAAAGTCACGTAGAAGGGAAATAATAAAATAATTAAAATAAAACATTATACAATTCTCACGACGTTTTGGCCACAACACAAGTAGCCTTCCTCAGGTGAAGAAACAGAACTGTCAGAATGACAGCGCTCCAATGAACACTGCTAAGCTTCGCAGCGTCTTTTAAGCTGGGTGGGAGGAGCAGAGCGCCTTGACAAAGGAGTTTACATATCAACAGAAGAATTTAGCATTGAAGTGGCTGTGTTAATGTGAGAGATTAGCAGGATGTTAAAGTCAGAAATTAGCATGTAACTGGGAGATTAGCATGATGTTAGTGTGAGGGATTAGCATGTAACTGGTCACGGAAGTAGCTATGTTAAAGTCAGAGTTTACATATCAACAGTAGCTATGTTAAAGTCAGAGTTTACATATCAACAGAAGCATTTAGTATATTGACGCTAAATAACTGCAACTACCCAACTATCATACAATAAACCGATGTGAAAGAACTAAACATAAACTACATCAATATAATCAATGTACTCAATATATTCTCCAATAAGCTGAGCTATTAACATAAAGTAACTGGGTATACACTACACTATATAATGAATACCATACAGTAAACTGATAAACTAAAATGTAAACTACATCAATATCAATAAACTCAATATACTCTTCAATCAGCTGAGCTACTAACAATAAGTCATTATACATTACAATTCTATGTCGAAAAAGTGTCGGTTTCTTTTTTTTCATGCTAATCCCTCACTAACATCATGCTAATCTCCCAGTTGCATGCTAATTTCTGACTTTAACATCCTGCTAATCTATCACATTAACACAGCTACTTCAATGCCAAATTATTCTGATGATATGTAAACTCCTTTGTCAAGGCGCTCTGCTCCTCCCACCCAGCTTAAAAGACGCTGCTAAGCTGAGGAAGGCTACTTGTGTTGTGGCCGAAACGTCGTGAGAATCATATTTTATTGTTTAATTTTTATAATTTTATTATTTCCCTTCTACGTGACTTTACCAAAAGAACCAAGAAGATGAATCCCTGCAGTCACGAAAGCTTTAAATCGAAATTTAAACAAACACTCTGGTTCTTTCGGTAAAGTCACGTACGTACAAAATTAATAGATCACGTGACGTTTCGATCGCCATACAAGCAATCGTCATCAGGTGAGACAAACACAGCAGGAGAACTGCTGAGGCCTCTTTCATTCTCTTCCATTCCTTCCTTGCCCCGAGCTGCTCCTGCGCTGGGGTAGCGCACGGACTCCGTGACGTCGCCCGACCGCCATCTCTTCCCGCAGTGTTCCCTCTGCTGCATCTCTGCCCCCTCCTCCTCCTCACGGTCTTTACTCCGTCGTTCGCTTTGTCTCTCGTTGCTCGTTGTGCTGTCCATTTCCACTCCCTGCCCCCTCCCCACCCACCCCCCGACTTCCCTTGCTATAAAAACAACAGCAGCGGTGACCTCGTCCACCCCCCTACATCCCCCGTTATTTATGAATTCCTGAACCGGTCTCTTCGACTGACTCCTCGCAGATTCCTTTCCGTCGATCGCACGCCCCTTTTCAACGCTCCTCAATAATTTTCGGTGAAACTTGCGATGCATTTGTTGTTGTTGTTGTCGTAAGGTTTATTATTTTAGTATATATGTTTAATCTACGAGCGACATCAAACGACGCATCGTGCAAGATGCCCCCGCGTGACGAACCGAGCACCTGGGCTGGAGCGAAATGTGCAAAACTTGCTCAACGTCTCCCCTCGGACGCGGCATCGCCGTGTGACCCACGGATGAACAACGGCACTCCCCGAGTCGGCGATGGCTGCGGCGGGAAAACAACACGTGGCGAGCGGCTTACACCCAAATGTAATTTTCCCCTCCCTGCAGCGAGGGCGATTTTGCTCCACAAGTTGATCTCAAGGAAGGGTATCTGTTCGGCAAGCCGGACTCTGCTGACGAGACCCTGAATTATGAGACCTCCTTTTGCCAGTAACAAGATATAGTAATAGGTTTTACCCTTTTTAACTGGCACAAAAACTGACACCTTTATTCAAGGCATCATGTTTGCAATAACCACAACACAAGCAGTCAAAATGCAAACAAAAGAGACAACTCTGATAATAATATGCACTGTCCTTGTGTTGTGGTTATTGCAAACATGACGCCTTGAATAAAGGTGTCAGTTTTTGTGCCAGTTAAAAAGGGTGTGGACCAATCAAATTCAAGGACAATGCATATTATTAGCAGAGTTGCCTCTTTTGTTTGCATTTTGACATGCTTTTGTTGTGGTTATTGCAAACATGATGCCTTGAATAAAGGTGTCAATTTTTGTGCCAGTTAAAAAGGGTAAAACCTATTACTATGAGACCCTGAATGTTGAAACTCTGAAAAACAAAGGAATGCGCTGCTGGATAATATTGGCAAACTGCTGACTTCAGTCAACCCGAATCATTTGCTGGACAAGCCTGACGGACTCTGGAGCAGATTCACACCCTGCGAGTCTCATCAGCACAGCCGGCTTGCCGAAACAAATCCAGCTGGATGTTGTCGTTTTTGGCAAACCAATACTGCAGTCCGGTGGAATAAAGCACCGTGGGGTTTTACGTGCAGAGACATAAACGGGGTTCTGCCGATACTTTGACGTTAGCGGTGAAACGAGTGAACGCACGCTGGGAAACTTGGACAAGACCCCACGATGCACCGCGGCAGGCAGCGTCATCCACTCGACCAAAACTTTGTGACGATGCCACTGAGAACGCGCGCGCGCGGGCACGTGGGCGGGCACGCGCACGTGCGCGCGGTGGTGGTGGTGGTGGTGGCGAGGCCCGTTCAGGTCGACTGCAGTGAGGCGCCCGCGGCAAAACTAAAAAAAATCGTCTCGGCAAGAAAGAAAGAAAAAAATGTAAAGTTGGCAACGTGAACAAACGAACGAAGAACAAAATAACCAACCCCCCCCCCCTTGCCACCGCAACGCGGTTCCGCATCACAGTTTGTACGCGTGATTGTTTTGCGCTACGCATTGTGGCCCAGATTCCGAAAATTCTGGAGCAAGCGACATGTAGGCACGTACCAATTGGGCAGGCAAACATACTGGCTGGGAATAAAAGCAAGATAGGCAAATGTAAGTTTTTGTTTAAGGCAATGCAAGTACAGACAATAAATATACGCAACGCAAGTAATGTACGTAGTTCAACATCAAATAAAACTTCTTTGGACTGAGATGCATACAATGGGCTAGGGAGCCCGCCGGCTCGTTTGACGATGATGTAATGCACCACCAGCACTTGTTCAGCTTAGAACTCTCGTACCATGCTTGCAGTGCCGCGATAACAAATCAGGAATGTGATACACTTAAAAGACAATGACCCCCAACAAGCCTGACCCCCACCCCCCCTCCCATAACACCATCGGGCCGCTGGATGAAGCCTTTCCCCGTCGACTTGCGGTTTCACGACGCAGCAGTCCCCACCGAGTGACGTCGCTCCACGCACGTGACGGATCCTGGGGCACGTTCCACGCCTTTGGCTGCCGCTCCCTCGTGTGAGTCTCGACCCACCGACCGTCGTCCCTTCGAGCGACGGCGTCCTTCCCTAGCCCCACTCATGTGTCTAAAGAGTTTAATATTAAAATATGATTTTGACTCTCAAGGAAAAACTCCCGGGCACGCACGCACCTCCGATTAGCACGGTTGGCTATGCACGGTGCGAAAGAAGTTTCATGTACGTCCAACTTGTATATGTTCTCCGAACCGCGAGTCTCTCTTTCTCCGAATGCAAATGCAAGTACGCGTGACCCCTCCGTGCGTCTTTGGATAATTTTCAGCTTTCGTTCCACTTTGTCAATGGCCACGTTTGTGATCCGTGCCATGATAGCAGATAAATATCTTACCGATGAAATATTTTCTTCATTCGGCAAATCGGTTGTGTTGCTTTTGATGAGCAAGTTCAGTTTTCCCAGAAGCGCTCCAACCTGCTCTCATCCACCTCTTTATTTTATCATTTTGATATTGATCCCACCGTCAAGTGACACATTTTGCAGTATTGTTGTGTCCCTCCGAAGATGTTTTATTTGTTCAGCTTACGACAAGCGACTGGCCGTAACTTTCCCTTTGCCCGTATTTAATATCTCTAGCCCCACGTTGTAACTTCTGTTGATGTTCTTCATTCATTACCTGGGGTTCCGTCTCATTGGTTGTTACAGTGACGATGTCGTCATCGAATCCGAGATGGTTGACACCTCCACATGTGCTCGTGGATTGATGTCTCTGGTCCAAATGTTGGAAAAAAAATGTAAAATTTGCTGCGGCGAGCCTTGCTGAGAGCATTACCTGCTTTGCCCGACTCCACTTCGGCTTTGTATTTTCTTAATTTATTTTTTCTAGCATCTGATTGACAGCATATGAATGATGTTTTTTGATTGATAGTGTCTGATTGGAAGTTTCTGAATAATAGTATCGGAATGATAGTATCGGAATGAAAGTGTCTTTATTGATAGTATCTGATCGATCGGGAGAGAAAAACCTTGGCCAAACCCAGTCTGCTCACGTGCTCGCTTTGCCTCAACACTTCCTGTTACTCGGTTCCAAATCATAGATTTGAGTACTATTTGCGTACTGAGACCATGTACACGGCCACATGCATGCGCATACACGCACACCGCCAATGATTTGAAACACGAGAGACAACGTAAGCTTGCAGGCGTTCCTTTTGCATCTTCCCAACGCACTTTTTGTACGGATATGAATCGGGCAGTAAGCCCTACGTCCGCGTTGCTAGCCGACAGCTTTAGAGGGCCACGTGTGCAGAGTGCCACGAGTGGAAATCGCCCTGACCGCCCCGAGTGGCAAACGGCCCTGCCAGAAGGGGGAGCAGATTGGGGGGGGGAGGAGGGGGTCACTTGGAGTCATGCCCCTCAGCAGTTACTGGGATCATCATGTGACCCCGTTTATTTAGAGCGGCAACGCGAAAGACGCTCTCGACATGCGTGCAACATTTGGATCTGCGCTAAAATATTTTATTTCAACGGGCAGACTTCTTGGCCGAATTTGGGAGTCCGTTGTACCCGCATGACACTTGGGACCCCACCGCTTGTGCTCCTACGGCAATGGGAGCACGCACGAAGGCGGCCGACAGTGCACTCTGCATCTCCACGGGACTGTCACACGGTGTGCCGCTGTTGGATGAGGCACTCCCCGTGCCGTCTAAGCCACGCTTCACCAAGCCAGCCAGTGTGGGTTGGCGAAGGGGGAGCACAGACGGGGAGCGTAGAAGTACTGTACAGCAAAACACTAGATTTTGTCGCACTGGCCTTCTGGTGCCCACTACGGAGTGCAGCAGCAAGTGGCAACTTGCCGTGCATGGCAGTCGCCCTTCCCAAGCGCTGTCCAGGCTCGACTCTGCTTAGCTACCGAGATCCGGCGCATTCCGGGCGATTTTATCACGGGCCATGGGATTGGTAAGACCTATTAAGCGGTGCTTGTTAGGGTCATTTCCTACACCTGGGTTAGAGGCCCTGCCTCACTGACTGGGTCTATTGACGCGACCTTACACAACACTAATGACACAGGATCAAAGCGCACAACAGAGCGTATTGTACTTTCAAAGCACCTAACACGTGCTATATTACACTGACATTTAAGGCATTCCCTTACAACATCCCGACAGCAGGAATAACAATTCCCCGAAGCATTAAAAGGAACATGTTGCAAGCAATAAAAGTATTAAAATATTGCGACAAAAGCGGTAATGGTTATTATACAATGTGCAAATACATATATATAAATGGGATTGGGCAACAACTAAAAATGTAAACAAAAAGTGGAATGGACAATAACATTTCGTAGATATATTCGATCTTTTGATAGAGCACTCGAGGCCACAAGCAACTGCACGGCCACGGTTACGGCAGACTGCGTGAACGAAGACGATTACATTGAGCGCCGCTACTTAAATGCTAAACGTTGGCTTCGCCCGTCCTTGAATAACGTCACGAAACCCCTGGAACTTGTCGTTGTTTTCTTCGCTCAATGGAACCGCTGCGCCGACAGGAAAGCCGTGCGTTTATATATTTGTAACTTTTTACTCCAATGTCAAGGCAGTTGGCTTTTTACAAACGCTCCCCATTCTCACGCCATCACATCGGTTGCCCCGGGGTCTGGTCGACTGGGCAAGCGGCCGTTGGAACCTCACGAACGAGACGAACTTTTAGCGCTTCGTGGCTCGACCGCAATCGTGGCGGTCAAGGCAATGGCGCGCCGACTAGCCCGATTAATTTAAAGCGATTTGTACAATCGTGTCGTGGGGTGAGTGAGCCGAGTCGCGCATTGGGAGACTCGATTATCTGCAAACGGGTCGGCTCATTACACGTAAACGATACGGTAATGTTGCCCTTAGGCTGTCGGAAGTTGGACGAATGTCTGCAAAACGAGACAAGAAAAACACGAAATAATACGAATAAAACTGAATTGTGACAATTCATTGAATTGCTGATATGGGGTGGGGGGCGGAAATCATTGTAAGCCTGCTGGTCAGGCTGTGAGTAGTCAGGACCCAAGGCCATAGAGGGGAGTGGGGCCTCAGATCTGAGGAGGCCTTAGAAAGAGCCAAGGGAGGGCCTCAGAAGGGAGGCCTCATCCTGGCATTTCCCCAGGGCCTCCCGTAACCTTCCTGCAGCCCGGGTCAGCATTGAGAAGCAATATGCATTCCCTGTAAAGCGGTCGGGGAAGGAAAGCCCACAGACATTTGCAGGATTATAAAAACATCGAGAAACGGACTCAATCATTGTAACAGCAAAATGAAACGCGCGTCTAAACAAAGACTGTAAGTAAAAAACAAAAGCCCCAAAAATGCACTTGATCATTGGCTACAGCGCAACTGCAATAAATCTTAAGTCCCTTTGAATTTCCGTGCGAACGACGTCGGCTTGCGACAGGGGGTAAAGCGAGGTGCATACGACCGCAAAAGTTTGTTGTTGTCGTTTGCTCCATGCGCCGAGAGCTTCTTCACGAAATTCAGTTCCTGAAGAAGCTCCCAGCGTGCGGGCGGAAACGTCGGACATCGTGCCGAAAAACGACGCGGTACGACAGGCGCACGTCGGAGAGCTGTGAAGAGCGAGGGTTTACCCACAATGCAACCCGCGGCCGCCCTCCCTCTCCCCGTCCTTGCCCTCGCCCCCCATCGCTTGCCGTGTCACCCCGGCACCCCGACGGCAGGCCTCGAGCTCACAGCATCTGCAGCATTTGCTCGGGAATGAGTCCGTTCTTGCCGTTGAGGCTGCCCTTCACCCACCCGTCCGTCGCCGGTTGAACTGCGGGGAGGCACAACACGTCACCGTGAGAGAGGCGCACGCACGCCTGGCACGAGGGCTGCCACCTCTCTTCCTGGCTTTGCCAGGAGGACGGACACCTCTTTTTGGGACAGCTGTCCCGTATGTACTGTATGTGTTGAACTTCTTTCACGCCGTACGTAGCCAACCGTGCTCATCGGATGTGTCCAAGGGAAATACAGGGTGCTTCAAATAGTTTTTAACACTTATATGGGACTATCGGTATTGTTGAAAGCACCCCTGTATGCAAGTCTTCCCGGTATATGAAACGTTATAGGTCTGGTTGTTTTTGTCAGTTACGCATAATTCTCTCTTACTCCCAATGGTGTCCTTGTTTGGTTCGTTTCTTGTAGCTAAGGAGGTGGCAAAACTACTTAGCACTTCTCTGGGCGGTGTTACAAATGAGGCAACCTCACAGTCGGCATTCACAATTCATTCTGCGATACGTGGAGGGTGGCGGTGGGTGTCATCTTGAAGGTCACTACGTACGGTTTGTTTTAGCAGCAAATCAATGGTTTGACATTCACGTGACAATAAATGCACCACCACAGCCTCAGAGTGGACGACAAAGTCAGGTTGTCAGAGTGGCTGGCGTCCCCCCTTTGAGCATTTCTTACAAATCGGGAAAAGTGGTCAAGTTGACTCCTAATCTGCTTTGCAGCCCTAATTGGTTGACACGCTCTGTACCACGGCATTAAATACACTCGATGATTATTCTCGCGATTGCCCACCATCTCTGCAGCGTCTGACATGTGCACTGCGAAATTGTGGAACTGCCCCCTCGATGGACCACGAAGTGGACAGGAGTGGGGGGATACCCCTAAGATTCTACTGATGCATCGATGCATCCATCAATCTCTTTAGATCAATTCTTATGCTCATGATGAGGCATCCAAAAACTGAAACTTCTATGTAAACAATGTGTTGTCATTCCCTCCGATGAGCACGGGTTGGCTACGTACGATGCGAAAGAATTTCAACGTACATGCACAATGCGCCATGTTGTGACGATGTGCCTAAAAGTCTCTGGTGGCAGGAACGATACAAATGAGACCGGCAGAACGAGAGCGAGAGAGAGGGGTAGAATAGAAACGAGGCAACACACGAAGGAAGACAACGTAGTTGAGCACTTACTCACACGGGGGCGGACAAAAACGCACGGGACAAAGAAACATTTATATTCCTGAATTCACTCGTGACCTGGAGTCGTGACAATTTTGTCGAATCGCCATCGGTGTGCGCGCGCGGGATACACCGCCACGAGCCTGCCAGCCATGCCAAGAGCCGGCGGTGACTTCCGTTGCTCAGAGGCAGGGAAATGTTTGCCGTGGTTTATAAACAACAACAAAAATCACTGCCACAAAGAAAGCATTCAACAGGTGGACAAATGTCACCACCACTTTGCAGAACGCTCGCTAAAAAATAAGATAAATCGCCGCGCGTGCGGTCGAGGTCATAGGCGTGTCAAAGTTGTCGTGATAATTTTTTTAAATTAGATCGGTCTCTTTCAAAGCGAGCAAATTGTACGTTCAGAATGCTAACGTTATATTCTTAGCTCTTTCGGTAAAGTCACGTTGCAGGGAAACAATAACAAAATAAAATATATATCTAAAACAATAAAAATTCTCACGACGTTTCGACCATAACACAAACGGTCGTCATCAGGTGTGTCGGTTTGCATTAATTTATTTTTAAACGGTGTATTTATTTATAAAAAACGTCAGCGCCACGCGTAGCGATTTGGCAGTATATTTAGAAGGACTAGTCCATCTATGTTCTGAAAAGAGGAGGGGGGAGACGAAAAATTAATGTATGCTGTCTGAAAGCCACTGTAAGCGTGAACAATCAATTAAGACCTGAAATGGTTTATCAAATCTTTCCAATGATTGCTAAGCCAGAATCCATCTTCTCGGTTGAAATTGTCTCTGTGCTTGTATATGTGGATAGCCTCATGAACGAATCTCTCATGGTAGCCAGATGGCTTACAAAGAACTTCTGTCTTGGAAAAGTCACTGTCATGTGAGCCTACTGAATTATAACAATGATCTGCCACGGCCGAGGTGTTGGTCCTACCGTGTTTAAGGTCTGCTTTGTGTTCACGAATGCGGTCCGAGACATGGCGTTTGGTTTCTCCAATGTAACTACTACCACAGAGGCAACTTAGTTTGTAGACACCAGGGTACTGTATGTCCGGAATCACATCTTTTACAGACGGAACCAGATCATGGATTTTATGTAATGTGTTGAAATGGACCTGGATCTTGTGTTTATTCAAGATTTTGGAGATCTTTTTTTGTGATCCCCGCAATGTAGGGTAAAGTGATGGTTTTGAAAGGCTCCTCAAGAGGGTCCTTCTTCATGGTTTGAGTGATAGCTTTGCGGATTGTATAGTCGGAGTAACCATTAGCCTTAAGAGCTTGGTGTACGTGCCTGAGTTCACTGCCTATGTGTTCCTGGTCGGATATGCATTGGGCTCTATGATGCAGAGTCTTGATGAGAGAATTCTTCTGTGATGGATGGTGGTGGGAATCCGGTTTCAGATAAGCATCCGTATGGGTAGCTTTCCTGTAGACAGAGTGGCTCATTGAACCATCAGGTCTCTTTTTAATTAGGACATCCAAAAAAGGTAGCTTGCCATCTTTTTCGACTTCCATGGTAAATCTGATGGCTGGGTGTATGGAATTGATGTGGTCGAAGAATTGGTCTAGAGCAGGCCGGCCATGTGGCCAGATGACAAAAGTGTCATCCACGTACCTCTTCCATAAGGTTGGGCGCAGAGTGGCAGTCTGGATGGCGTCAGTCTCAAATTTCTCCATGAAAATGTTAGCTATAACTGGAGATAGGGGGAGCCCATTGGGGTGCCCTCAGTTTGTTTGTAGAAAGTTCCATTTCAAGTGAAGTATGTATTGGTTAAACAGTGTCTCACCAGGGGGGGTACCTCAGTGTTTAGTCCTTGATGAACCAAGTCTTCAATGATTGCGATGGTGTCAGGTACAGGAACCTTGGTGAATAAGGAAACTACATCAAAACTGACAAGCAGGTCATCTGGGGACAGGGAAATACCTTTGATTGTCGATACCAGGTGAGTAGAATTTTGTACCGCAGAGGTGGTTTTTCCAGTAAAAGGATGCAGGATTTCAGACAAAAAACGAGCCAGTTTGTAGGTGGGGGAGTTGATAGTAGAGACGATGGGACGAAGGGGTGTATCTACTTTATGTATTTTTGGTGAGCCGTATAATCTTGGTGGCCTGGCAGCAGAAGGTTTCAACGAAAACTGTGTAGATTGATCAATTAATGCGGTTGAATCAGAAATTATTTTGTTGGTTTGTGTGACGAGGCTGTTGGTGGGATCTCTTTTTATTTTTGTATAACTACCATCGTCGAGTAATTCTTTAATTTTGTTGTATTCTATTTTATCCATGATGACAGTAGCATTGCCCTTGTCAGCTGAGAGGACTACAATATCATCCCTCTTTTTTATTTATATAATTCAAAACGCTCATCTTTGCTGAGGTTGCTAGCTGGCATCTTAGCGTTTTTGAGGGTTGCAGCGATTTCAGTTCTTGCTACGTCTGCAGCGATGTGACCCAGGCCCCTGAGAGCAACGTCTACTTGGGCAATTATATAATTAACTGGTATGTGTTTAGGTGTGACTGCAAAGTTTAGACCTTTAGCTAAAACGGATTTCAGACCATCGGAAATAGAACTGTTACTGCGATTAATTACGACTTTGTTAACGTCTAACTTTTTGGTGTGTGGGTCCGGTCTTTTGTTGAAGAGGAGGCTAAATTTGGAAATCAGGTTGTCCTTACATTTGGTCGACATAGTAGCAGCTGAAGAGGCAGTCATATTGTCTACATGTTCCCAATCCGATGTGGACATTGTTGCCGTCAATGATAAGTGTGATTTGTAGAGTGTCTTGTCTAACTGATCTAGTTTGGTGCGTATAAGTCTGATTTTTTCTGAGATAAGAGCTAAGCTAGTTTTGAAAAGAATTCGTTTCGCATTAGAAGAAGTTACAGCAGCAGAGGTCAGTGTAAATGCGATTGGTATTACCTCAGAGTCGCAGCATCTCTTCAGAAAGGTGAGAGACTCGATCAGCTGAGCCTTCTTATCCCGGAGTTTGTTGAAGGATCTTAAAGTTACGTGGAAACCCTCCCTGTAGAGGCGGTTAAATTTTGATTTAAAGCTTTCGTGACTGCAGTAATTCATATTCTTAGCTCTTTTGTTTCCCTTCAACGTGACTTTACCGAAAGAGCTAAGAATATGAATTACTGCAGTCAAGAAAGCTTTAAATCAAAATTTAACCGCCTCTACGGGGAGGGTTTCCACATAACTTAATATCCTTCAACAAACTCCGAGATAAGAAGGCTCAGCTGATCGAGTCTCTCACCTTTCTGAAGAGATGCCGCGACTCTGGGGTAATACCAATCACATTTACACTGACCTCTGCTGCTGTAACTTCTTCTAATGCGAAACGAATTATTTTCAAAACTAGCTTAGCTCTTATCTCAGAAAAAATCAGACTTATACGCACCGAACTAGATCAGTTAGACAAGACACTCTACAAATCACACTTATCATTGACGGCAACAATGTCCACATCGGATTGGGAACATGTAGACAATATGACTGCCTCTTCAGCTGCTACTATGTCGACCAAATGTAAGGACAACCTGATTTCCAAATTTAACCTCCTCTTCAACAAAAGACCGGACCCACACACCAAAAAGTTAGACGTTAACAAAGTCGTAATTAATCGCAGTAACAGTTCTATTTCCGATGGTCTGAAATCCGTTTTAGCTAAAGGTCTAAACTTTGCAGTCACACCTAAACACATACCAGTTAATTATATAATTGCCCAAGTAGACGTTGCTCTCAGGGGCCTGGGTCACATCGCTGCAGACGTAGCAAGATCTGAAATCGCTGCAACCCTCAAAAACGCTAAGATGCCAGCTAGCAACCTCAGAAAAGATGAGCGT